TTCTATAGTACCGCTGATGTTTTATTGATGTCAATCTACAGTACTGCTCTTATTACAGGCTCTTTGTTTCTTAACATTTCCATTTAAATCTTTCCAAGTTACATTTTATCATTACCCACAGTAATTCTCTTACATGTCATTTGATAATAGACACTTCTATATACCCTGAACATAGTGCAGTTACTGGGTACAAGCAATACACATATTCCAAAATATACTTGGATCCTTTGTCTGGTACAATCTTATATACTCCACAAATAAACTTTGCCCCTATCTGCTGCATAATAACTAAACCATTTCCATTTTACTTGCTATGAAACTTAACATAACATTTCACAGTTTGTGAGAGTAAAGCTAAAATAACTAGTCAACTAGCTTTAGGCAGGACATATAATGCCTTTTTTTGGGTTTTAGCTTTTTGTTATTTTTATCATTTTATCATTATTGAGTATGGTAGACAACAACCATAAGAGTTAACTTTTGTAAGTCATTAATCACCTACATTATGACTACATTTAAAAAGAGGACCTTAGATCAGAAGATTTACATCTTTGAATATCTTATTAGAAACATTTTCTGATGCCAACTATGACAACCATACATATTACCAATTACTTGAAGTGTCCCCTTGTATGTTCAAATTGTTACGCATCATGTCTTTCCTATAAGAGTTATGTAAAGTGTAGGAGTATCACTATCTTTATTCAACTGTCACAAACTTCAAGTAAACAAAACAAAACCAAAAAATAGGTCAGTGGTTTCATCCTTGACAAATGACAACTCATACAGAGGAACAGAAACAAAACAAGTTTCTTACTACTAAATATGAACACCTTTCTTTTGTATCCTTTAACTAAAGACAGAACCATTAACTAATACCAATAATCACACAATCACATTTAACAAACCTTATAATAATTTCCACTCATACGGAGCTGTAGAATACTGTACCATATAGTTATTTCCCAAATCTCAAAAGCCTAACTCAGGCACCAAAAATAAAAAACTACAGTTATCAAAAATTTCATATAAGTATGTAGGTACTTGTGTGTATGTATACATATGTATATACATATGCACATACATTAGAATCAAATCACTCCTGAAATAAATTAGAAGGAAATGCCGTCACATAAAGAAAACTTTTGTAAAAAAAATATATATTATCATCACATGTATGGTTCTCGATTGACACTCGATGTAGAGATTACTTAATTTTCCTGTTTTTGGCCTTCTTTTTCTTGCCCTGTTTGCTGCTGGTCTTACTATCAGGGGAACCTGCTTGTGCCCCGGAACTCAGACTGGGGAATTCCTCATCCAGGAAGGACACTCTGCAATGGATGGTTTCATTCGACCCCTCAGCCGTGTCTGGGTGCTTCTCCCTTTCAAGGGAACATCCCACAAGCCTCTCTGCTATCTCTGATGTCCTTTCTTCTCCAATGCTCTTCTCTTTCTTAAGGATACTTTTCTTAGGCTCGCTTTTTGCTGGTGGTATCAGCTCTTCTCCGGTCTCATCCTGCAAAAAAAAATAATAATAATAAAAAAAATTGGTATAAATAAATTAACGAACAAAAGATTGGTTAACAATAATAATGGAAACAACCAAAACTTTGCACTCTGCATTTGTAGCTCATCTTCTAATAAATATTGTTACAACAGAATAGCATTTAAGTTACACAGAATATAACATGGTAATCAACTCTCATCTGCTAATTCATATAGTTTTTATTTGGTTAATCAGTTAGCCTTAATACAAATCAAAACTTTTCTTTTTTTTTTTTTGCTATCCACATAGAAATATCTAAATAAATAATTGGAGATAATACAACTTTTTTCTAGTCCACCATTAACCCATTGCCGCCGGGGATGGCATGTACGTACATGCCATGCCCACTGTAAGTCGACTTGTCCGATTGTTTTTACACATAGATGGCTACACTTGTACTAAGTATCCAATGAGCCAATTACAGTACTGCCTGTCTCGCCCGTTCACCCTTTTCATCAATTTACGAAAATATTTAACATTATCCTAATTTGCTGTTAAAAATAACACCATCTATATTTATAGCACTAGTAAAAATATGTTTTTTCCCGCCAATTCAAGGAAAGGTGAAATCAGGACTAGCAGAGCCATCTATGGACAGAGATATTTCACAAAAATATAAAAAATGAGTACTGTATTTCCCCCATTTTTTGTTCATTTTCCCCGGCGGCAATGGGTTAATGGAACTCAAAATTTAGACCATGTAATTTATGCAGTTTTGCTTTTAACCCATTCGCGCCGGGTGTCACGTATACGTGACGGGCCCACTGTGAGTTACTTGTTTGATTGTTTTCACACATTGATGGCTACACTTGTACTTGTACTGCCTGTCTCACCTGTTTACTCTTTTCTCTAATTTACGAAAATATTTATCTTATTTTGTTCTTACTACTAATATTTATAAAATTATAGTAATTATAATATTTATGATAATAATAACCATCGATATTCATAGCACTAGTAAAAATACATTTTCCCGCCAAATGAAATCAGGTAAGGCAGAGCCATCTAGTGTAGAGATATTTCACAAAAAGATATGAAAAATGAGCACAGTATTTTCTCCATTTTTTGTTCATTTTTACCCAGTGCGAATGGGTTAAGTATATTCCCTAGGCAGCCTAACTGTTAACCAATCTATATAGGAAATAACATTATCAATTGGATATATTCTACTTACAAATGATATTCAAGTATTCAAATGTATATAAAATTGTATGAATTTATAGACTGCATTTAAATCATATATATATATGGATAGGGGATAAAAGGCCATGTTTTCAAAAGCAGATGGCTACCTTTTTTTTTTTTTTGGTTGAAATCTATATCAGAAAATGAAAAAAGACTTTTTTTTTCAGGAACTGCACCTCCAAAACCTGACCCACCAGGAAAAAACAAACAAAACTTGGGTAAAAATGGAAATTTTGACAAAATAAGCTTCCAATATATCATTTCTTAGTAAATTTCAAGAGGATAGTGAATATAATAGTTCAAAAAGGATCATAGTTAATAAGTAAGACAGAAAACAACAGAATTACTTGTCATTATATTGATAATACTGGTCAAAACTCTGTGTTTTTTAAATGCTGCGTCAATTGCTTTGATGTTGCTCAATGTAAATAGCCTCTTTTTGTCTGGTGCAAAATCCCAGTCCCCTTCTACACTGCAATTGATTATTTGGTCCAATTCTGCATCTTGGACATCTTCAACGCCCTGATACTTCCACCTGCAGTCAGACCCGCTAGTGGCATGATGTAGGTGATCACCTGTGTACTTATCAGCATCAACATCCTTCACATATGCTATGAACCACTCATATTTCAAATCACAGTTTTGCCACACCACCACACAGAGCTCATTTACTTTAAACATTGCTTCCCTGGCCTGTTCTTTTTGATGTTGTGTAGAATAAAGAGCAGAGATAACATCAACATTAGTTGGTAACTAAAACATTGTGTATTGGCTAACAGTGTCATCATCAAGCAAAATGGCCAAGTTAATAAGCATTTTCTCATGTGTAATCCCATTAATCTTGTACAAAGCTGGTCGTGCAATTTTATCTGTCTTATGGGTATGAACATAGAAGCTGTGTTCTGTTTTGACTATGAGTTCTTGCTCCTTTGGTTTTTCTTTCAAGACTTTGTGTAGCTCATCAACTGAGGTACAAGGTACACCCCAAGACTTGCAGCTATTCAGCAGCTTCTTGGTGTACTCTTATGTCAATAATTTTCTTTAATGCATCACACACATGACTGTGTCTATTACCATATGTTTCATTTCAGAAGTCTTCTCAAAATTATTCTAATTTTGGGTGTCTCAGAACCCTAAAAAAATCTATTAGTCTTTATATCATTTCCTTTTTATTTATTTGCAATTTATTCTATTCATTTACTAATCTATTTGTTGTGTACTTTGTGTAATGCATGGCCTATAACTGATCCCAAAGTTTTAGTACATGTATACTTAATAATATTGTTCAAATCTGCATCATGTACATATAAAATAACTAAAATTGTTAAAAAACTAACATTTTGTACTGAAAAAAATATATTCCTTCTGTAAGGAATGTAAATATATGTAAAATGTAATGTAATTATATGTAAAAGCCTTTCAGATAGTTTATTTTTACTTTAATTTATTTGTTGACCATACTTAATTTAGCGCAAGACATAATCCACTATTTATGAATGACTCATTCCTATAATGTACTGAACTGTGTCAGACCAACAATACTAATAGCTGTCACAAGAGCCAGAAATGTAAAAGCAATTTCCAGATATCAGGTAGAGAAAACTAGAGGTACAAAATATAGCGATACTACTGCAGAAAATGGATATCCCCAACCATGTTACTGGGTTAAGGAAAATAAAGGGCTGTAATAATTTCCTCTAATGCAACTGTGAAACCATCCCCACCCACATCATAGCTTTACAATATAAGTAACAATAAATTTTCCACAAATACTGACTTCTGATGCTTAGTTTCCTACATCAAGGTTGATCTACTAATATATTCTTGTAAACTTAGCAAACACTCACTTTATAGTACTTCTGAAGAATCTTTTCCAATTACATTTCAGTGACAAAGAAAATCACATTAAGCTCATGCAGCAATATTTTCATTTACAACATAAATGGAAAAAAAAAAACATCTTATATATAAGCAGAAATGCACATTTGTCAACAAATCCAAATGTCAGCTTAAAAAATCTGTATCAACTTCTTACGAGTGCCACAGCGTTGGCTGTTTCTTCCATAGCTTTGCAAGCAAGGAAACCATCATAATCCTGGCCAAAACAAATAATCATAACGTGCACACTATTCTACAAGCATATACCAAAAGTAGTCATAGTAGTCAATAGGATTACAAAAGTTTGTAGAATTGAGGGGCAACACAGACTGTGAGACACAAGTTAGGATGCAAACCACTAAATAAGCACATACAACTACAAACTACTTTGCTTTTGCTGCAAACACAGCAATGCAGTAACACAGGTATAAGTCTATGAGAATCTGATTTTCCAACAGTTTAGGTTATATACAAGGATACAAAGGCAACTTATATACATGCTGTTAGTATAATAAGAATAAGGAAAAGAAAAAGGTAAAAACAGTAACCAGACAGAGAAATTTAAAGATCAACGTACGATAACAACAAATTCTTCCAGTAAATCATCACTTTCTTCCTCCTCTTCCTTTTCCTTTTCTTCTTCGTCTTCATCCTCCTCCTCCTCTTCAACTCTATAACTCATTTTGTTCTTCTCTTTCTCTAGCTTCTCTTCTGCTTGGATTTCCTCCCACAGGAACTCAAAGTTACGGTTTGTGCTATTCATTTTCTGGCGCCAGAGCTCTTGATGGGCTTCATATTCATAAATCTGCAATTAAATCATTATCAATACTGATGACAATAGCATTCAAACAAAAATAAAAAAATCTTTGATGATGGCCATAGCAATATCAACAGCCATGACTAGTGCATCCAATCTCAGGAAAAGAAAAAACTGTTAACTTACCCTGGACTCTGGCGGACTCGAATTTGCCAAGTCGCTTTTCTATTCTCATCATATGACAATTAATACTTATGCTTATATATTTGGATTTTCAATGTTACATACAATATTTTTTACTTGTTTTTATTCAAATTTGCTGCCTTCAACATCCCTTTTACTATTTTTCCTCAAAAGACGAGTACTCCAGGATCCAGGGTTGAGTTGCCAGTTTTACTTGATTGTACCGAGTATAATGGAGGGAATCTGTATATTCATGTATAAATATATATACAGTTTTTATTCTAAATACTAGACAAAGTGTCATCCTAACTTACCATCCTTGCTGCTTCATCCTCTGGCCCAGGGAGAGAAATGCCACTCACTTTCTCAAACAGCTGAAGAGGAGTTGGCAACTGTGGAAGCCCTTTAGACTGGAAGAACCTAAAGACAAGATATTTGAGTTAACCTCTATATCATAACTTAAAAACTATCAGAAACAATTCAGTGAATAAGCAGGACTAAATAGATATACAGTTTAAAAACATCCTGTCAGAAACAGAAAAGCACACTTAAAAGAAAGAATACCCTTCAAAATAGAGTGTGACATTATACAACTTCTGGTTACTTTAGGAATTTTAGTCTATTACAAACATATACTATAACTTTAGGTTATACTCCACACTAAATTTTATGTCTAGTATTCATTATTCATTCCAGCTCATTTTTTTAGAGAAGCATTTTCCCTTACTTAATGATGTTAGAACAATCACGGTGTAAGAAGTGTAGGGCATTTGGGTGTGATGGTTCAACAGCCTGACCCACATCAATGATCCAGCAACGACCTTCATGCCACAAGATGTTGTATTCACTCAAATCAGCGTGAACAAGGTGGCAGCCTTGGAACATCTTCACCATTGCCTATAAAATGCAGTAATGCATTAATAAACAAATGCTTAATAATAGCTGTTAAATCTGATTACATAATTTCAAAGTCAAAGTAAAATATAAATATAAATAATAATTATATATATATATATATATATATATATATATATATATATATATATATATATATATATATATATATATATATATATATATATATATATATTCATTGCTTATATATTCATAATGAATATATAAACAATGCTATCAAGCAAAAGTTTCTTTCATGAAAGTTTTAAATTCCCTAAAGATTGTAGTTATTGACACTGCTGAAGTAAATGAACTTTTACCTCCACCACTTGCTCATATGCAATGGAAAGATCACAAGATGACAGATAAGCATCCTTCAGCTTAGGAGCAGCCTGATGGTTGCGGCCAATAAATGACATCACCAGGACATGCTTCTTAATCATTATTGGCTCTGGTGAAGGTATGGCAGCACGCTGTAGACGTCGCAGGTTGTGATACTCTTTCTCAGCCCACAGACGAATAGACTGAAAAATAAATAGGAATTCCAGTATATTATTGATATGTTGAACCATACTGATGAAAGACTATATTTTTGAAGATATGAAAACACTTTCAAAATAACTTGCAAAACCTTTTACTGTATAAGAAGTACATACATGCCTGGTGGCATGTAAGTACATGCCATGGCATGCCTGTACTATATTCTGGGTGGCATGTGCATAAATGCCATGGTGTGCCAATCCCATTTTCTGGGGGCATGTATGGTCATGCCACACAGGCCAGGGTGATGACACATGCCCCCAACAGCAGGGCCAGGGCCACAACCCAGGAGAGAGGGCTTGCGTATCGGGAAATCACCCGTCAACATTGGGTTAAATTCTAGTTTCCCTTCTCTCATATACTATAATTTGAAATAATTTGTTTCTTTCTTTAAAAATAACAGAATAAAACATTAAAACAAAATATAATTAATTGATTAAAAATATACATTATACTATTAATAACCATAATTAAGACCAATGAGAAAGAAAAACAAGTCTACTTAAATTTTTTTGTTCGTAGCAACTGTAAATATCAGAACAAAAAAAAAAAAAAATAAATAAAAATAAAAAAAAATAAAATAAAAAATAAATAAATGGGTTAAGGACTTTTTTGCTTGCTATATTGTATTCCCCTATTCTTCCCTTCATTTGTTTGTTCAGCATAAATCCAGGAAAGAGAGTGATAGACCATATCAGCATATCCTACCTTCTGTGTGTTATTCTTAGTCATTCTGTCTTTGAAGCGATAATCTTCCCGGATGTAGCGTTCACGTGTTTTGAAATCAGTTAGGGTTGTTTTGAAAACCTTCACAGCACACTCTTCTGAAATTTCCTTATCTTCAATTCTGAAAAATAGATAGGTTTTAAATAATGAAACTTTTCTTAATAATTCTAAGAAATTGTTAAACAAATGTTATAAAACATGCATGCAAATGTTAAAATATTTATATAATCAAAAGCCAGTAATAAATCAAATACTGTAAACCTAAAATTCAAGATGTATATTATAAATAAGAAAAAAAAAACGTACATTCCACTAGCGATATCTCAAATCCAGGTCAAACATTGAAGGATATGTTTCTATTCTTAAAACTCAAAGTACATTTTAGAAAATAAATGTACAAAGTCACTTACTGCCCTCCATTCGCATGAATAACAACAGCTTCTTTGCCTGAACTAATGACACCATTCACAGTTTCCAAAATAGCATTGTTTACTAATTTGAAAATCAACAGTCGTGTGTTTGGATCCAGAGCCATCTCAGCTGTGGCTTTTTCCACCTTTAGGAAGACAAATAACATTGAAAGTATTATTTACACCTTTAAAGATATTCTATGAAGAAATTACTTCAGTAATCTTTAACAGTCACTTTAGGTAAGAAAAACCCATTTTACCTTATCGTGAACACGGTTCTTTCCTTTGGTTTCTTTATTTGCAGCACGCTGTAGCTTGTTATAAACCTGGAAATGAAGATATAAGAAGTATTGACAAGAGAGAGGCTATGTACTGGCAGGGGAGGCTCCTGTATCACTTTATCCATCAACAAAACAAAAGGCAGTCTCTATACACTAACCAAAAACAAACACAAACCTTGTTTGACAGATGCATGTCAAATCCTCCACCATCTCCTGTGTTTATTCCAGGGGGGAGGTTCATGATCCGTTCAGCATTTTTACGACCGCTAATTGCAAGGTCGTGCTTGGTCACAATGTTCTTACCATGCTTGACATATCCACAAGGTGGAATGATTGGATCGTCACGTTCACGTGCCTGTGCATTAGAGAAATTCTCAGTATGGGCATAAACTGTTATTAGTTTTAGACAAGAAGTTTACATACGGCCATCTTGCTTTAATTATATTGACTAGCTTAACCCATTCACAACAGGACTGTCACATATACGTGACATGCCCACTGTGAGTTTACTTGTTCAATTGTTTTTACACATAGATGGCTACACTTGTACTAAAACAGTAATGAGCCAATTACGAGTACTGCCTGTCTCACCCGTTTACCCTTTTCATTCATTTATAAAAATATTTTACGTTATCTTATTTTGCTATTACTATTGTTTATAACATTATAGTAATTATAATGTTTATAATAAAAATAACACCACTGATATTCATAACACTAGTAAAAAAAACATTTTCCTGCCAATGCAAGGAAAGGTGAAATCAAGTAAGGCAGAGCCATCTATGTGTAGAGACATTTCACAAATATATAAAAAATGAGCACAGCATTTTTCCCATTTTTTGTTCATTTTCCCTGATGTGAATGGGTTAAAAATCATTAATCTGTACTCAATATGCCCAGACCAGCAACAGTAGGATGAGCACCAAATCCCTGTGGTTTATATGTATCGGGTGGAATGAGTTGCAAATGTTTAGTATTTGTTAGTAATATGATTAAACCATTTATTTGTTCTTCTAGTGCTATTTTAGGTCTTCTGTGCTGTTTGATACTTTTCTTTGTCAACTTTGTTATTTAGCTTTTTCTAAGGAATTTTTTAATCTGTTTAAATTTACATCTGAGGTATTCACTTGATGTTAGAGTATACATATCTATCAAGCTAAGAATGGATTATGACATGTACTTATAAAGGCAAATACTCTTTGATTTCATAAATGATAACAGTAAATTCTCTGAAAGTCATTGCAATAATTAATAATAAACCTTTGATCATGTTAACCCATATAAAATACTTATTATACAAGATAATTTTTATTGGTTTGTAAATATAATATCGAGTTCACCATCTTTTCAGAATAATTACCTCAAAAGAGTCAAAATCTCTGTTGTCTTCATCCAGTTCCTCAGGGTCATCCTCACTATCAGGCCCATACCAATCAGGGCATATCTTAAACTTGTTGAATGATACTGAAACTGAATTGAAAAAATAAACAAAAGAGATCAAGTACAGGATATGCAGTTAAATCTGTAAAAAAAAATCTTCCTTTTTTTTTATTAAAACAATATCTTTTGTTTTGCAAGTCTCTTTACTTTCCTCTCATGT